ACACTGTCTGGCAACACTTGCCAAGATCACGAACTCTGTCTGGCAACACTTGCCAACAAGAGTGGCTGGCAACGTCAAAAAAGAAAAGGCGCGAAAGTTCGTTGGATTTTGTCCGGGTGTTGCCCGAGGATGTCTGTGACAGTTCTAACCTTTTCTAATAAAGTTCTTTTTTGTTACTGTTCGTGTTTGCCTGCTTAATGTTAGATCTAAACATCAGTAGGATTGAATGACAAACATGTATTATTTAATGTGTCATCAGCGCAAATTTCATTAATTGTAGGTTTTATGTTATTTTTATATATGTATATATTCATTACAACACTTCCTTACAAACACCCCTCACGATAACATTCAAAACTGAACCATTATCTAACGTGTTCATCGCATCCATTCATTTACGTATCATGCGTAACAGCCGTAAACAACCCCGTCACATAACACCAACACCGCTTCCCAAAATCCAACCCCTAGGTCCTCGTCCTGGGAAGTGGAAACGCCACTCGATGATTTTTGAATGGCGGCTAAAGGGGCTCTGGTATACTAGATATAGTGGTTCGTTTATAAAATTATATTTCTATGAAAAAGTTTATTGTTAATGTAGTTTATTTCATTTAATCGTCTACCTACTTCAAGTTTAGACAAAATACTCAATAATCATTTAAGTATAAAGCGAAATCTGTAAAGCAGAAATCAGCAAAGAAGTTTATAAGAATAGAGTTCACTTTCATGTCATTGTGGAGAAAGATTTTATTTTCAGGAGACGGTGTGACTATCAGGACGTGGTATGGCGTAAGGCCTCGTTTTTTCTATAAAATGCAACGAATGTCCTATGATGGTAACGCAACGTGGTGCCACTAAAATTAGCAGAAAATCGCATCGACTCGATAAGTGTAGTAATAAGCACGTGGTGAGGGTTGATTTCACAAAGAAACGGGTATATAAAACAAATAAGACGTGCTTTATTATTTTCTGTGAACATATACAGGAAAGGTTCTTGTTGATTCCGACCTCCTGAGTCCTTACATCAAACAAACGAACAAACAACACCTTTTTTCGATTCACAGTCGAGCAAGACTTTCGCGATACAAAGAGATACTTAACTTCTAACTTAAACCTACTTATATCTAAAAAGAAA